AACTCAAAAGCTTATATCTCTTACAAACAGAAGTTAGTCCAGTAAAAGATATTACCTCATCCCCCCCCCCTTGTCTCTAAGTTTCCCCAAATGTTAATTTAGCCAGAAAATCTCATCCCATTAGTTACCTACTTAGTTGACTGGAAACAGCAGCCTGCCATATCCAGCACTTTCTTGGAGACTGTGTCCTTCCCAAGCTGAGGATCTTCAAGCTATCACTCCTCCCTTGTTGAGGAAAAAGACTCTGTCCACAGTTATGAGGCCTTGTCCATGTGTCATAGGGAATCTATTCTGAATGGTAAGGTTTTGCTTTTTGACTCATTCAACTGCAAAGCCTAGACCCATTGTTCTCCATCTTTTGCCTGTCTTTGATAAAACGGTTAAACCTTCAAGTAATTGCTTGTGCCACATAAAAACATTTATCAACTATAAATTTCAACCAAGAAACAACACAAGGAAAGCAATGCATAGAAACTCAAGCTATTCCAGCTTGATCAGTCAAAATTACTGCATGGAAATGAGTGCACAAAGAAGACATGCTTTTTCTTCTCTGAGGAAAGATTGCTTGAATCTTGGCTGGATGACAAATTCCTCCTCTATTCCACCCTGTCAGTTTCTAATAGGGATTTTTGTGTATGAGCCACAGCACCTCTAGAGACATGCAGGAAAAAATGAAGTTCCCCACAAAGCAAAGGCTAAACCAAGCTGCTTGGGGATGGGAGGTGGGGGTGGGGGGAGATCCCATCCCATTTCCAAATATGGTGATCAACAGAATTCTGAGTACCACAGCAAGAATCCCTTATATAAGAATTAGGACACAGAAGACATGACAAACCAGTGAATCACCAGAGTTCAGTGACAACTCTAGCCCATCTACTAAACAAATAACTAAAAGATGTCGATAGAAGCTTCTAGCTCACCAAGTTGAGAGCTAGGGTTAGTTGTAGTTTGAAGCCTTTTATCCTAATGGAGGTAGGCATCGATTGGCATGAAAAGAGTCCATATCTCTCATGCTTTTCAGTAGCTAATGGTGGTTAAAGACCCCTTCAAGTCCCACAGGGCAAAGCAAAATGTCCCCCATGTAGGCAGGAATCAGCATTTCTTTTTCAAGGAATCATTCACAAATCCTCGTCATTGGGTTCCTCTTACCTGGGACAGCATATGGACAGTTATAAAGTTATGCAGTAGATGATGCCACAGTGAGGAATTCTTCAGAAACTGTGTCCATCAGACAGACTAGCAAAAGGCTGATGGGTGAAAAGATTTTGTTAATTTTCCAATTGAGATTTAGTCTGTTTTTTCTACTAGTGCCAACGGTTTTTCTTCTTTTATCTGGTTTTTGCCTGTATTTCTTCCTGTTCCTCTCTGCTGTACTCAGTATCTGTCTGGCCCAGTCTCCTGCTGCCAGGCAACTTGGAATGGCAAACCCAGAAACAAGTGCACAAAGAAGAGGTTGCTTTTCCTACTCTGAGGAAAAATTGCTTGAATTTTGGCTGGATGACAAATTCCTCTTTTCTTCCACCCTGTCAGTTCCTAATTAGAATTTATGTGCCTGAGTGACAACACCTATAAAAGACTGGTCTTTCCCCTCATACAGTGTCTCACATCAAAGGGCCTTTTTAAAAAAAGGCAGGGAGAATGCAACCCAGCAGCTGCTGTTACCAGCAGAGACAGCAAGGACACCAAGAATAACTCTTCAGGTGAAGTAAGTGTCCTTGACCTTATGCTGTTTTGGCTATCCCTTTCATGACAAAGGAAATAGCCTGAAGACTCTCTTGTACATTACCCTAAAGCTGGCAGGCCTGCACTGCTTCTCATCAACTTTGTTCCTTATAGCCAATAAGCTATGCAAAATGGTAATGTGCCTGAGGTCCTGACAGTCTGATGTTGTAGGTCAAGTGAAGCTTGATAGCCATACCCTTAGAAGACAAGCATCTTTTGGGTAAGACTCTGGATAAAGCAAAACAGCAGGCCTTATTTCATAAGATTACAAAGTTTCTGATACTTTCAGAAAGACTACAACAGCTTTTATCTCTCCTCAGCGAAGTCCAGCTTCCGGTCTAAGTTTTAAAGGTTTTCATAAACTGATCTCCATGGATTTCAGACAAATTGAGTATTCCAAGGGAACTGAAGACTTCCTGATAAAACAGGTATTGGCAAGTCTTGCCTTTCTTGAGAAGTAGGATCTGCCATTATCTGCCTGATAACTAAAAATTGTTGGAGTTTATGCAATAGAATTCAAGCACCTAGTCATGAAGCACTTTTTATTCCATCCCCAATTTTTTCAGACTGGGAGAAATGGCAGCAGATCAAGGCCGTTTGCTGCTGCAGGACACTCAAGTAATAAGTATACTAAAAGGTTGGAACTTAACAAAAATATGTCAGTGCACAAGGGGGAATAGACTATTGCTCACTCAATCTTTGCAGTTCTAGTTCTAGTCTTAAAAGGGCTAAAATTAAAAAAAAATTAAAAAAAAACTTCTTTGTCACTAACATCAGTAATCATGTCTCTAAATTGCCATTTTTACATAGATGCTTTTCAGGATAGAACTCCAAATTAAAGTGGTGTTCCTTATGGTCAGAACTTTAGCTCATAGTGTGAGTAAGCTGGCTGCTCAGTCTTGCTTGTTTCCTGTTGTACTTTGTCCTGGTGAAAGCCACACTTAAAATATTACCATCTTTTTAAACCTAAAGTGGATTCTCAACACCATTGGGATCAGGATAGTCACATTCCCTACTTTTTAGCCAATCCAAAATCCTCAAATGAAAGAGAACCATGACTCCTGTTTTCTATTTCATTAGAACACAGCAGTTCAGGTCCTGAGATTTCCTCTTTATTTTTGTTGAAGGTCCCAAGTATGGTTTGTCCTTAAGAAGGGTAGGAAGTCCCTGCAGTGTATAACAAAGTGGATCATAACTGGTATTAAAATGGTATGCAAATCAGTGTATTTGTTCCTTGGCAGTAAATTCTCACTTGACTTTAGTGATAGCTGACTCTTGGACTCAAGATTGTGTCCTCTGTCCTAGCCATTAAGAGTATAAAAATGGCCATACAGGGTCAGACCAGTATTGTGCCTTCTGACGGTGGCTTATGTCAGATGCTTCAGAAGGAATTAACAGAACAGGACAATTATCAAGTGATCCATCTCCTGTTGTCCAGTCCCAACTTCTGGCAGAGTTTTAGGGACACCTAGAGCATGGGGTTGCGTCCCTCACCAGCTTGGCTAATAGCTGTTGATGGACCTATCCTCCATGAACTTATCTAATCCTTTTTTGAACCCAGTTATACTTTTGGCCTCCACAACATCCCCTGGCAACAAGTTCCACAGATTGACTTTACACTGTGTGAAGACATACTTTCTTATGTTTGTTTTAAATCTGCTTTCTATTAATTTCATTGGGTGACCCCCTAGTTCTCATGTTATGGGAAGGGGTAAATAACAGTTCCCTATTCACTTTCTTCTTCACCATTCATGATTTTATCATATCCCTCCTTAGTTATTTCTTTGCTAAGCTGAATAGTTCCAGTCTTTTTAATTCTCCGCATATTAAGCTGTTCAGGCCCCTAATCATTTTTTGTTGCCGTTCTCTGTACTGATATATCTTTGGGAGATGGGGCAACCAGAAAAATGCAGTATTCCAGGTGTGGGTGTACCATAGGTTTATATGGGGGCATTATTATATTTTCTATTAGCTATCCCTTTCCTAATGGCGCCTAACATTCTGTTGGCTTTTTTGACTGCTGCTGTGCATTGCACAGATGTTTTCAGGGAACTATCCATAATGACTCCAAGATCTTTCTTGAATGGTTACAGTTAACTTAGACCCCATCATTTTGTATGTATATTTGGGATTATGTTTTCTAATGTGCATTACTTTGCACTTTTATCAACACTGAATTTCATCTGCCATTTTGTTGTCCAGTCACTCTGTTTTGTGAGATCCCTTTGTAACTCTCTGCAGTCAGCTTTGGACTTAAGTATCTTGAGTAATTTTATATCATCTGCCAATTTTGCTGCCTTACTGTTTACCCCCTTTTCCAGATCATTTATTGAACAGCACTGGTCCTGTACAGATCATTGGGGACCCCACTACTTACCTCACTCCTCTCTGAAAACTGACCATTTATTCCTACTCTTAATTTCCTATCTTTTAACCAATACCGATCCATGAGAAGTCTTTGACGTGGGAACTTGTCAAAGGCTTTGTGAAAGTCCAAGAAGTACACTATATCCACTAGATCAGTGGCAGCCCCCATTGGCCTGGAGCGGCAAACCCCGGCCAGTGGGAGTCGTGATTGGCCGAACCTGCGGACATGGCAGGTAAACAAAGTGGCCCGGACCGCCAGGGGCTTTCCCTGAACAAGCGGCAGCCCTAGTTTGAGAACCACTTCACTAGATCTCCCTTTGTTCACATGCTTGTTAAAATCCTCAAGGAATTCTAATAATTGGTTAGGCTTCATTACTCTTTACAAAAGCCATGTTGATTCTTCCCCAACATATTGTGTTTCAACCAGTTTGCCTGGTATTGAAGTCAGGGAGAAGGGGAAGGCCAAGGGAGGGAGGTGGGACAAAAATAAATGAAAGCCAGACACGTCACATACTGTGTATAGTGTATGAAGTTATTGCTATAAAATTAATTGGTAAAGTATTTTGAACTGAAGCTTTGGTGAGGTGGACAGGTTTCTCCAAGATGGGACCACTGAAAACCCAACCAGTTGTATAACGCTTCTACATATGTAAAGGGAGAGAAACTCTTACACAAATGTAATTTACAGGTAAGGGACAATTATGTTTCGAAGAGTAGTAACCTCAAGAATTGATGCTTAATTGATGACACTGTATAAAAGACACAATAATGCACAATGATTTTAACCTGAATTTTGCAGTGATACCTTTTGACCATAAAGCTAATGCATTAAAAGATATATTATCTCCCTTGCATATTTTTCCAACTATCAATAGTATTATTAACAAGATTCCTATTTGCTTGTTTGACAGAACCCAAATCAATTTCACAGTGGCTATTGATTTCACAGCATCAAATGGTGAGTAACAAAAGTCGCTTCTTGTAAAATTGAATGCTATGTCCAGCTTCAGAACAATTTTTCTTTAGTACTACATACGTATTTCTATATTTATTCTACACAGCTTAGATTTGCAATTATTGTGTATTATTTGTGTCACTATAATGCTTAGTGGCCCCAACTGTATCAAAGCCCCATTACTATAATGTACAAACATAGAGTAAGAGAGAGTTCCTACCCCAAAGAGCTTATAGTTTAAATAGACAAGACAGACAATGGGTTGGGAGGAAGAGATCTAATAAACAAGCAAAGTGAACATTGTGATGACCTGCAAACATCATGTTCATTATTATCAAGGCAAGGAGGCCAATATGTCCATCATTGGCGATCTTATCATGCCACCAAAGCTGACCGTGTAGCAGTATTCCTTAGTAAACATGCTTTGTAATTCGTTAATCTTCCATCCAAGAAAGCCTTCAAAACCAAACCAGTGCTGATAGAGGTGGTTGCTGAGTTCAGCCATGAATATCTTCATTGCTAATCTTCTCCTGCAACTTATATGAAATAGCTGATGAAGACAACCAGAATCAAGATGCACAGTCAACCTGTGGCACTCCTTTCCAGAGGATGTTGTGAAGGCCAAGACTATAAAAAGGTTCAAAAAAGAACTAGATAAATTCATGGAGGATAGATCCATCAATGGCTATTAGCCAGGATGGGCAGGGATGGTGTCCCTAGCCTCTGTGTGCCAGAAGCTGGGAATGGGCGACAGGGGGATGGATCACTTCATGTTTACCTGTTCTGTTCATTCCCTCTGGGGCACCTGGCATTGGCCACTATCGGAAGACAGGATACTGGGTTTAGATGTACCTTTAATCTGACCCAATATGGCTGTTCTTATGTTCAGAAACATCAGTTCCCTGCTCTTCAACCTTCCTCAGCACCCACGTTTTATTTCCATGAAGTAAAGATAGTGTAACTGTTTTGTATAAATCTTCAGCTTTCTGGTAAGTTTGATGTCACAAAGTCTCCACAAAGGCCACTGAAGAGCTCAAAATGTGGTGTCAGTTACTGCTATGCAACCATTTATATCTTTCAAACATCCTCGAGCATTGTCTATGATGCTTTCCAAGTAGTTGACAGTTGTCACCTGCTCCGTCTCCCATCCAAACAAGTTAATACTAAGCTGATTGTAATCTAGATTTGGAGGCTGCTTGAAGGTAATTTTATCTGAATTAATAATCCAGACCAATGTGCGCTGCTTCTTGCCTGAACATATCAGCCATCAGCTGTAGTGATTCATCATATTGAGCCAACAAGGCAATGCCGTTGTCATATTTGAGGTCTCAAAGTAACATGACATTCACCTCAATGCCACTGACAGCTGCCCCTTCAAGCTTACCCCTCAACCAGCAATGGTGATATTGAATAGCACTGGCGATAGAAGAGAGGCAAGGTAGGTGGGGTAATAACTTTTATTGGACCAACTTCTGTTGGTGGAAGGGACAAGCTTCCGAGCTTCAGAGTTCTTCCTCAGGTCTAGATAAAGTAACCAGAGTGTCCAAGCTAAATAAAAGGTGGGACAAACTGTTAAGCAGAAGGGGTTCATACATGCTGTAGGAGATCACTTAAAATGAAATCGGCAGTTAACATCCCTTCAGTCGTAGGACAATAGAGGGTTAGCAGGGGCAGTAGGATGTTATTATAACAAATTGTTATAATGAGCCATAAAATCAGTATCCCTGTTAAAACTATGGTTTTTAGTGTCCAGAAAAGTTATGAATTTAAGTTCCCAGGCTCATTTTTTGAAGGTGATGTGCAGGTTTCCTTTGAGGATGAGGACTGGGAGGCCAGATATGGAGTGATTGCTTTGTGAAAAGTGTTCACTGACGGGTGATAGGTGTTTTTAGAATCATAGGACTGGAAGGGACCTTGAGAGGGACCAAGTCCCCTGCACTCATGATAGGACTAAGTATTATCTAGACCATCCCTGAGAGGTGTTTGTCTGACTTGCTCTTAAAAATCTCCAATGATGGAGATTCCACACCTTCCTGGTCAATTTAATCCAGTGGTTAACCACCCTGACAGGAAATTTTTCTAATGACCCACTTAAACTGCCCTTACTGCAATTTAAGCCCATTGCTTCTTGTCCTGTCCTCAGAAGATAAGGAAAATAATTTTTCTCACTCCTCTTTGCAACAACTTTTTATGTACTTGAAAACGTATGTCCCATCTCAGTCTTCTCTTCTCCATACTAAAAAACCCCAATTTTTTCAATCTTCCCTCATAGGTCATGTTTTCTAGACCTTTAATCATTTTTGTTGCTCTTCTATGGGCTTTCTCCAATTTATCGACATCTTTCCTGAAATGTGGCATCCAGAACTGGGCACAATAGTACAGTTGGGCCTAGTCAACATGGAGTGGAGCAGAAGAATTACTTCTCATGTCTTGCTTACAACACTCCTGCTAATACATCCCAGAATTGTTTGCTTTTTTTGCAATAGTGTTGCACTGGTGATTCATATTTAGCTTGTGATATCACTGGTCTACAATTTTTGAGAAGTCGTCTGCTTCAGAGATAAAATGTGCTATTTATTATGTATTTTGATGTGCTGAATTCAAATATGACAATTAAAACAACTGATTGGCTACTGTTTCTAAGAT